TGTTTTGCTATTCCTGTGATGTTATCTGTCTTTTGTTGCAGATGTTCTTTACTTTAGCTGATGATGACACAGGTATCATCTGCAAAGTCCAAATATTCCAGGTGTTCGAGAAGGTTCCACTTGAGGCCCGCCCATGTGCCTGTGGTTGCATTCTTTGTAACATATACTGTCACAATGAGAAACAAGAAAGGTGACAGAATGCTCCCTTGTCAGACTCCTGATGTTACCCTGAAGTATTCTGTTTCCATAAGTCCTACTTTCACTTTGCAATGGTATCCTTCAAAAAGTCCTTTAAAAATGTTTATAACATTATCTGGTAACCCTTATGCAGCAAGGATCTTCCTCATCACTGTTTTATCTAGACTGTTAAAGGCCTCTTTAAAGTCTATAAAGTTTATATATAAAGTGGCATTCCATTCTAAAAGCTTGTTCCACAATATTTCTGAGAGTAAAAATATGATCACAGCAGTTTCTTCCTTTTCTGAATCCTACCTGATCTTCAGACAAAACTGTGTTTATTGACATCTTTATTCAGTTGTATATCACCCTACAGTGTGCCTTTCCGGGTACAGACAATAATGTTATGCCTCTCCAGTTGTTGCTGTGTGAGAGATCACCTTTCTTTGGTTGTGGGATGATTACACTATTTTCCCCGTCGAATTACATATTTTCAATTCTTATATTATTACAGTTTAAACTTATGCCTGTGAAAGTTGGAGAGCCACTAAAGATATGGAATGAAAGTTACATGCATTCAAAAACAAATGCCTGGTGAAAATATAATGGACATTCAAAATGGGATGAATTCAAGAGGAGTGATGATCTAACAGAAATGTCTGGGCAACCACTAGATAGCACTATACTGGCCTGAAAGTCACAGGTTCATTTTTGGACTTCACTGTTCTGTTAATCAACACATTTAAAAAAAAAAAAAAAATTCCTGAGGGCTGATCACCAGAGTTAGAGTTAGCAACTTGAACAATGTTTTTGGCAGGCCCCAGTGGCTCTGTGAAATGAGACAGAGCGAGATGATATAAAATCTGATGCACTGAAGTCAGTCTTCTCACCTTTAAACTCTGCCTGACCTGGCCAGTTGTCAATCTGGTGTAACTCTACTCGCTGTCAGAGGCAGAACTAAGATTAGTAAAACATCGGAGTAAAAGTTCAAAACCTGAAAAAGCGGGTTAATAAAATTAGTGTGGGTCTGAAGAGTCAACATAGGTAATCAGGTGGAAATTTTCTTTACCTTGACATAGTCCCCTGACCCAGACAAATCCCTGGCGACACTGACAGACAGAGCTGCCATCAGCGATGATGCATTCCTCATTTGTTTGACATGTAATTTCTCCATTAGCACATCTATCAATGACATCAGTACAGTACTCTCCTGCATAGAAAGTACATTAATGATAACTAACACAGAGAACCAAACACACTGCATCAAATTGGGAGGCGAGAAAAATGAACCAGTGCTAGATAGAGCATACATTGAGAAAGCCAATTAAGATAATAACTAGATTTTCTTACTGAAACCCAGGGGATGAAAAACACCTAAATACAGATTGGGAAGAGAATTAAAGGTAGACATTTAACAATTTTGTGAAGACATGGAAGTAGAAGTCAAAAGATAGGAAGATAGGATTTTGAATGAATTATTTGAGGCATATATTTTTGATTATTTCAGGCAGGAGGAGGAGGAAAAGAAGAAGCAGAAGAAGGATAAGAAAGAGGAGAAGAATGGCAAAAAAGTTGATTACTTCAGTGTCACATAGGTAAACTCAGTTGTCAGTATGTACATTACAATTACATAATATATGGACAATGAAAAGAACAATTACAAAGGAATACAGGCATCTTTAATATATCCAGGTGCCACAGACACTTGATTTGTAAAATACTCTACCTAATGGAAAAGTCTAAGGGAATAATATAAAATGCACTAGACAAATACTATTATTCTTCTTTTCTTCTGTGCTCACTGGCTGTAATCTCCATTTGAAATCCTGGTTGTTTGTCCATTTAGACTTTAGCTTTGTGCCAGGGCCTGAGTTTTGAGTGTACATCCATTTTACTGGCTTATTCGTGTGCAGTTAGTTGTTCCTTGCCGCTAGCGCAGATGCACTCTGACTTCAAAGGAAGCTTCAATTAGTGGACTCCTATGGCATGTTTGATCTTGAGCCAGTGAGTCTATTTGTGTTTTCTCCACAATGTGTCCTGGACCCGCAGGGAAAATATTAATATTCAGTACTGGCAGAAACTTAATGCTTGCAAAGGACAGAACAATTGACAATGTCTTGTGTAAACCATGTCCAAACAACTGATTATTGTATGAAAGAAACAAACAAGACTCCTTTAAACAAAGCATACTTTTACAAATATTGATAAAACATAGATATACACCTAAAAAGTATGTCTATACCAAGAAGTGCACTATATATTTATTGCTTTATGTTAGGCCTCAGCAAGTTAGGACTTGTATGCCAAGTAGTGCACATGGATGGATTTTCAATGGCACATTAAATGATTTGAAGTACAATATATGATTTTTTTTAAAAACATTAAACATTATTTTATATATTCTATTTTTGTTTCGTTTAATAACTGTTATATGTAACAATAAAGCTGAATCAGGTTAGCATAAAAAGTAACTTTGCAGCATTTTTAATAGTACAACTTTGTTACACAGTTGCCGTTCCTTGGCTTACTTCATATACAGTTAGTTTCTTGTATCTTCTATCATACAACAGTCCTTTTCTCCAAAAAACAGTCCTTCACCTTCACTTGCTGGGATACAACAGCCCTTCATTTACTACCAAACAACAGTCCCTCACTTACTAGCATACAATACCTCTTCCCTTTCTACCACACAATAGTCCTTCACCTTCTATCAGACAACAGTCCTTCACTTTCTACCACACAACAGTCCTTCACCTTCTATCAGACAACAGTCCTTCACTTTCTATCATACAACAGTCCTTCACTTTCTATCACATAACAGTCCTTCACTTTCTATCACATAACAGTCCTTCACTTTCTGTAACACAACAGTCCTTCACCTTCCTTCTTTCACACAACAGTCCTTCACCTTCCTTCTTTCACACTACAGCCCTTCCCCTTTTCTTACACAACAGTCAACAGACCTTCACCTTTTATCCTACAACAGTCCTTCACTTTTTATCACACAACAGTCCTTCACTTTTTACCATACTTCAGTCCTTCACTTTTTATCACACAACAGTCCTTCACTTTTTATCACACAACAGTCCTTCACTTTTTACCATACAACAGTCCTTCACTTTTTTCACACAACAGTGCCCGGCTCTCTAGCGAAGTTGGTTAAACCTGACTTTCGCGGCGGCCAGGTGACGAACTCCTTGTGGTCCAGGTTCACTCCCAGGGATAGGCAGAAAAGCCACATTTCTCCCAGATTAATGGTACCTATAATGGAATCAAGGCCGAAGGGTTGCCATATCCATAGTACTGAGCCAAAGGGTTTACAACTCATGGTTTCTGGATACGTTAAAAAAAAAAAAAAATCACACAACAGTCCTTCAATTTTTATCACACAACACTCCTTCACTTTCTATCTCATAACAGTCCTTCACCTTCTATCTCATAACAGTCCCTCACTTTCAATCTCATAACAGTCCTTCACTTTCTGTCTAATAAGTCCTTCACTTTCTATCACATAACAGTCCTTCACTTTCTATCTCATAACAGTCCTTCACCTTCTTTCACACAACAGTCCTTCACCTTCTATTACACAACAGTCCTTCACATTCTTTCACACAAAAGTTGTTTACTTTCTATTACACAACAGTCCTTCACTTTCTATCACACAACAGTCCTTCACTTTCTATCTCATAACAGTCCCTCACCTTCTTTCACACAACAGTCCCTCATCTTCTTTCACACAACAGTCCTTCACCTTCTATTACACAACAGTCCTTCACCTTCTTTCACACAACAGTCCTTCACCTTCTATTACACAACAGTCCTTCACCTTCTTTCACACAAAAGTTGTTTACTTTCTATTACACAACAGTCCCTCACTTTCTATCACACAACAGTCCTTCACCTTCTATCACACAACAGTCCTTCACTTTCTATCATACAATAGTCCTTCACCTTCTTTCACACAATAGTCCTTCACCTTCTTTCACACAGCAGTCCTTCACTTTCTGTAACATAACAGTCCTTCACCTTCTATCACACAACAGTCTTTCACCTTCTATCACACAACAGTCCTTCACTCTTAATCACACAAAAGTCCTTCACTTTCTATAACATAACAGTCCTTCACTCTTAATCACACAACTGTCGTTCACTTTCTATCACACAACAGTCCTTCACTCTTTCTCACACAACAGTCCGTCACTTTCTATAACATAACAGTCCTTCACTCTTAATCACACAACAGTCCTTCACCTTCTATCACACAACAGTCCTTCACTCTTTCTCACACAACAGTCCGTCACTTTCTATAACATAACAGTCCTTCACCTTCTATCACACAACAGTCCTTCACTTTCTATCACATAAGTCATTTATCTTCTATCAAACAACAGTCCTTCACTTTCTATAACATAACAGTCCTTCACCTTCTTTCACACAACAGTCCTTCACCATCTATCAAACAACAGTCCTTCACTTTCTATCTCACATCAGTCAGGTATTAATTCATGGTAATAATTTTATAGGGTCGGAGAAGTTAAAAAGCAATGACTACTTTGACAGCTGTATTTTAAGCAAAAACTTTCTTAGTAGAATGATCCAAATATTAACAAAATATGTGCTGAGCCAGCAAAAGTCAAGGCATTCAAAAAGCTGGTCCTCAGGGATTTGATGTAGATGGTTGCATCACCTGTGCTACCAAAATATAGCATGGTTTGATTCTGCTGCTGTGTATATTTTTTCTTTGGGAGGCGGTCGGAGAAGGGGGGGGGGGGGGGGGGTGTCACACTCTATTTATCATCTGACAGATCTTGTGAGTGCCCTACCTGTGTATCCAGGTTTACAGACACATCCAAATACTGGGTCACAATGAATAGCTCCTTTCCCACAAGCACAGCTACTGTTACACTGCATGCCCCAGGTTCCCCCAAGGCAGGCTGGTTAAAGAGAATAACAATATTTACAGTTATTCATACATTAACATCAGAAGCAGTAGAGCAAGCCCAGTATTGAGCAGCTAGTCCCCATCATACAACATCAATCGATCAATCAGAAGTCGTTTCCACAGTGAAGGCTGGCTGCTATGGATCTCCAACATGCTCTGTCTCTTGTCCTGGTTGTAAACTCTCTCAGACTGCAGTACTCTATGACTTGACTGTGGCATAAGACAATAACTCTTCTTCTAATTCTTCGCGTTCACCAGCTGTACACTCTGGTGGAAAGTTCTGGTTGTTCGTCCACCTCTGAACTGCAGTCCTGCTTCAGAACCTGAGTGTTGCGTGTGCATCAGTTTTACAGATCTGATTCACTTGAACCAGACTGTTGGTTCCTTGCCTCTCAGGCAGATGCACTCCGACTTCAAAGGAAGCTCCCCAATTAGTCGACTCTTACGACATGCTTTTGGGTCTATTCTTGTTTTCCCCACGATGGGGCCCCAGAACCCACACAGGGAAAGACAATAACAATCAGCTCAAAGAGATGTGTCATACAAAGCATATTTATCACCACCAAATGCTATCAGTGACAGACATGGTCACTTAAAAAAAAAAAAAGACAGAAAATTAGTAACATGGAAATGAGATGTCTGAGGAAGACTGCAGGAGTGACCAGAAGAGATACAATCAGGAACGAGGTCATGAATGAAAGAGTCAGCAGAGAACGAAAACTAAGCAACATGTAAGGACAGCAAATCAAATGGTTTGCTCAGTTGCAGAGAAAGCCTTGTGCTGCCATACCTTACAAAACATACACCAAAATAGGAGACTGATGAAGAGCACAAGCTAGACAAAGAACAAGATAGAAGGATAACATCAGAGAAACTCTGAAACAATATGATGTGTCTATAGCTGAAGTGACTAGAAGAACAAGATAGAAGGATAACATCAGAGAAACTCTGAAACAATATGATGTGTCTATGGCTGAAGTGACTAGAAGAACAAGATAGAAGGATAATATCAGAGAAACTCTGAAACAGTATGATGTGTCTATGGCTGAAGTGGCCAGAAGAACAAGATATAAGAACCAATTGTCAGTCTATGCAGCATCCATGGCTTAGGCGTTGTGAGTCCGACTCCTAATTCCAACATACCGGGATCGAACGCATTGCTGGCTGTGTAGATTTTTATCGTGGTATGGGGCATCGCAGGTCGACCCAGCCTAAAATGGGTACCAGGATGGCTGTCTTGGGGAAGTAAAGATGGATGGCCTAATGCTGACCACATTACCCACCTAGTGCCGATGGTCTGAAAAAATATGGGTGCTCTTCCCATATACCGATGCGCCTAAAGGTGTGAAAACGGATCTTTACTTTTACTTTTACTTTAATTTTCGTCTATAGGTAATAAGCTAGCTAGTTAGCTAATTAGTTGACAGATTATCTTCAGCTGAGTTGAGTTAAGTCAAGAATTGACATCACAGCACTCGGGGTATTCCCATATGAGCTCCATCTCCATCCTCAGCAGCCAGCGCAGAGTTCCAGAGTTCCAATACTAATGGTGCCGGTCGTAGTCTGGTTGTATGTCCATCTTTCCTTTCCTCTGAGCGTAGTGTGCTGGCCGAAACCTCTGGTCACACCAAGGTGCATCATTCTCTCCAGCCCATAAAAATCTAGTTTATCTTCTGACTTCGTTACTTCTTCCCAACAGGCTCTGACCACATTTGCCTTGTCATGTATCAATTCACCACCCAGCGGTGCAGATCTAACCAGTCTGTCTGCCTGTTCATTCCCCACCACACCAGCATCGCCTGGAGGAAAGATCCAAAGTATGCTTTGATTATCTTCATTGCAGATAGAACCATTCAGTCCACAAGTGTTCGAATCACATTCTTAGTCAATCCAGCAGCATGTAGCAGATCATGGCACCAGTTTTGTGTTGGTTTCTTATTCTTCTTTGGCTTCCTGCGTAGTGCTCTTGTCTGGCCACACCCCTTTTAACATATTGTTCTTGCAGTCTGGTCATGGCCGTAGACTCACAGTCATTACTTGGTTCTCCCCAAAATCTTACCTCTTGTAGAGCATTCAGAACATCAGCATGGTCCAAGGCCACAACAAAATAAGGTTAATTTGACATTTTTACTTTTCCGGACATTTCCTGTCACAAATTGTATGTTAGTCATTCCTAAAAGCCACAATCAAGTATAACAAATATGTTTTGGTATTCATTTAAACCTCTGGGTTGGCAGACAGGCATCTGCCACCTGTACCACCCTAGCTCCCACAAAGATCAGTATCTAAACATTACCTCTACCAGACCGATGTACCGCTTCTGTGGTAATTTCCTAATCTGCCACTAAACGGCTGTACCTCATTGTTGGTACTTTACGTACTATGTAATAAAACGCGTCAAACACTAAAAATAACCAACCAATCTTGATCAAACCTCGTGGTTAGTCATTGTGAATGACTGCCCACGTGTGTTTAGATTTACTTTGTGTGGTTTAACGTGAAAAAATTCTGAAAATTCACAATGAAACGAGGGGCTGATGAACCAAGCACTTCCACAAGAAAGTGAAGTAGGTCTAGGCTTTTCATAGTCCAACAGGTGAACAATATTCTGGTTGATTCAGACTCTGAAGCGTCAGAATTTCATGAAGAATACATTCCCAGTTAAAGTGACACAGTGTAAGCTCGACTGATGAGGAGAATCTTGAAAACTGTAGATTTAAAACTAGATCAATAGTAAGATAAGGGTCCCTCAAACAGCAACATCTGGCAATCTGAAACAAGGCTGATCCTGACGGGTGGATTGGAACACAACGGTAAAATATTGGTGCTAGATGAAAAGTAAACATATTTTCTAAAATGTCTCCAAGTTTCATCTTATTTTAACCACTTGTTTCCCTCTAACTAATATTTCTGTATATCATGTTGATTTTTTCGTGTAATGCTGAGGAGCTCAGGTAAATTGGGCTGTTAGGTTCAGTGCCTCAAGTCTGGTAGGGTTAACAAACAAAAAACAAAAACAAAAACAAAAAAACGTTGATCCGACTAACCTGCACACTTCCTGCCATCATTCTCCAGCCTGTAGCCAGGCTGACAGGAACAAGTGTACCCTCCCTCTATGTTTGTGCATCTCTCCTGGTCATCACACAGGTTGTCTTCCTCTGACAGACACTCATTTATATCTGCAACATCAGATAACATTACAAGTATGTGTACATACAATTTATATGCTTTGAATATGTTTAGTCATCATCATCATCACCATCATAAACCACTTCTGCCATTAAACGTCGTGGGGAGGAATAATTTGCAATTCAGTGCACGTTGGCTGCCACTGGCTATTGTCATGCCGTGAAGGCGTAGAGTGTCTTTAATGTTGTCGATCTATGTTTTCTGCTGCCGTCCTTTTGCTCTTGTAGCTGATCTTCTGAGATATTGTGCTTGTGATAGTATTTGATCTTGCTGCATTCTAACGAGATGACCAAACCATTTGATCTGCTGTTTCTCGATGAATCTAGTACAATATGTCTTTCCCATAATTTGCCTGATAATTTAATAATACCTGTTTAAAATTAAGATGACCTGGAATTAAGTAATGCGTATGATAGATAATGGTCAACGGCTTCTGTTCAAACTGGCCTTTACCCTAATGACAAACATTTCATCAGCAGTAGACATTAAGAGCCCGAAACATTTAGGAATGATACAAACCACATTTTCTATACAATGTTATCAATTCAGGCCCTATACATTTGCAGCTTCTTTTCGTTCATTCCATGTTTTATATATTCTTGTGTAACAGTGCTGGCCAACCAGTTTATAATGAGAGGTAGCCTATGGCTGTCTTCTGATTTATTCTGTCCCCTTTCCGGGTGCTCTCTTTATTAGTCTTTCTCTATCATTTATAAAGTAGACTGAGGGTGATAACTGAAATTTTTAATTAAGAATTGACATCACAGCACTCGGGACACTCCCATAAGGGCTCGGTCCCCATCTTCAGCAGCAAGCAAAGAGTTAAAATACCGATGGCACCAGTAACAGTCTGTATATCCGTCTCACCCCTCCCCCGAGTGTCAAGCGTTGGCCAGATCCCCTTGTAACTCCTCGCAGTGCCATTCTCCTCAGACCGTATTGATCTATCTGTTCCTCGGCACTGTTCACTCGCTCCTTCTTTTTCTTTTGTTCGCCAACTCACTCCTAAAGGGTCCTCACAACATCCAACTTGTCATACATCAGTTCACCACCAAGCGGTGCAGAGCCAGCCAGTCTATCTGCCTGGCTTTTCCCAACATACCGGCGTAACCTGGAGAAAATATCCAAAGGATGCTAACTACCTGGGACCTCTGAAGTGATGCTTGCCACTCTGCATGGAGCATGCCTGTCTCCACCTTTCTCAGCATGCTCTGTGAGTCAGTTACACTGACGACATGTGTGTACAGCTGATTCTCAAGCCAACGGAAGGCAGCAGTGACTGCCTCCACCTCCATTCTCAAACGAGATGTTGTGATATCATATGCCAGGTTTTGTTGCGCTAAGCAACGTCCATTCACCTTCGCTATGAACCCCATGCACTTCATCTGCCCCTCACCACAGAGCCATCTATATATACAATCACATCATTTGGGCGGGAATTGTCATGAATCATTTGTTGAACTTCTGATTCTGCAGCACCAGCTGGCCAGTCCTTACACAAGTCTGAAATATGATCGGACACTTTGACCCACTCTTCTCCTGCCCTAAATTTATCAAGCCTGCACACATGAAACTAACTGAAATGATAAGTAGCATTCAAACCTAAGCAACATTGGCCAGCCTGATTTCTAACATAAAAGACTCCAATTAGTCATCTGAGTTTATTTTAGTGTAACTGTGCTTGCACAGTGTCAATATCATACTACTTGAGACTAAAAAGATAAATGCTGTGAGTAACTCATAGCTTCTTTGTATGTATCAGAGTCAATAAATCAGAGCTGACACAGTCCCTAATCGGCCTCCAAGAAGTCGTCGTGTATCTGGGCTACATGACTGTAGTCTGACCAAATAGTATAGAATGACGAGTGACAAAAAGATATCGGTTTATTTATTCCTAAATGCTCTACACAGCTAAAGTACAAAGATTTATTTATCACCCCAAAAAACTTTTATGAATTAAGTATCCTCCATTGCATAGAAGATTCTGGAAAAGTAAAAGTATTCAGGATAACCTTGATCATCATCATCATGTGCCTAGTCAGATACCTTAGATCAGGTCCATTCAAATAAGTTTACTCAGGGCCAACATTTTTAGAATGAGGAACATTCTGGGCTGGAGGCCTGCGCCCCAGCATGGACAGATCATTAATACATTACAACTGGTAATGATCCATGGGCCAGAGGCCTGCACACCAGCATAGACAGATCATTAATACAACAGGTAATGATCCATGGGCCAGAGGCCTGCACACCAGCATAGACAGATCATTAATACAACAGGTAATGATCCATGGGCCAGAGGCCTGCGCCCCAGCATGGACAGATCATTAATACAACTGGTAATGATCCATGGGCCAGAGGCCTTGCCCCCAGCATAGACAGATCATTAATACAACTGGTAATGATCCATGGGCCAGAGGCCTGAGCCCCAGCATGGACAGATCATTAATACAGAACAACTGGTAATGATCCATGGGCCAGAGGCCTGCGCCCCAGCATGGACAGATCATTAATACAGAACAACTGGTAATGATCCATGGGCCAGAGGCCTGAGCCCCAGCATGGACAGATCATTAATACAGAACAACTGGTAATGATCCATGGGCCAGAGGCCTGCGCCCCAGCATAGACAGATCATTAATACAACTGTTAATGATCCATGGACCAGAGGCCTGAGCCCCAGCATGGACAGATCATTAATACAACTGGTAATGATCCATGGGCCAGAGGCCTGCGCCCCAGCATGGACAGATCCTGAATACAGTACAAATGGTAATGATCCATGGGTTAGAGGCTTCTGTTCTATGTCTTTATAAGAGAATCACATACACCATAGACATTTTTTTTAAAGTTTAGCTCGGAAATAACTAATTCCGTCTGCTTTTGCAATTTTCAGTTTGCAATATTTTTTTTCAGGGTTCAGACTGAATGTTGGTGCTGAGGTATTTCTTCTTCTTCTTCTTTTGTCAAAATCTGCTTGTGCCGCTAGGCATCGCAGTCTATCAGATGATCGGCAACCGAGCCAGGGCGCGCTCAGTCGCTTCATATGCCGTGATGTTATGAAGTATTTCTACTGTGTGAATAATTCCTTTTGGTTTGTCATCACTCTTGTCTGAGATAGCTGGATATCACACCCAGTACCAATGGATCTGTGGGGTCATTTATATCACCTTTTTTTTCTTCTGATTTTATAGCCATAAAAAGCCCAAAATGTGAATCAGCGAGGTATGCAGGAGTGAACTGTTTTAACTGTAGTCTAATCAACTACTCATCACCTTCTACCCCCTCACCATACAGTCCTACAAACACACACACACATCCATACACACATACACCCCTTCCTTCCTCACTCAATGTGCAATCTTCACTGTGGAAAGGTTAACGTACTTTCACTTTATCACTTTATACAATTTATTGTAGCTGACAAACACATTCAGTACACAATAATATCTTTGTTACCTTGACAATCATTTGTTCCAGTCCCTGTGTATCCACGGGGACAGACACAGAATGGTGTCCCAGTATCGTCAAGACTACACCCAAGGCTGCAGCTCAGGTTACAGACACTTTTATCTATATCCATATACAAAACAACATTATTGAGTGTATGTAGATTAAACAGCTCACCTATGTGTTAAATGGATCTTTAGAGGAAGCAATGAATAGAAACACTATATCTACCAAGCTTCAAGCTTACTGTAAGTGGGGCTGAGTGTTCTCAAGTCATGGTGTCTGCCTCGAGTGCTAGAGGTTCTGGGTTCAATCCCCGGTAAGGGCTGGGATTTTTTCCCGTGGACTTGGACTTCTAGTAATTCCCCCTGGTTTCTGGGTAGTGAGATTGAATGCTCATGTGCATTGTTGCGTACGTAAAAAAATCCCTTGGCAGTTGGAAATCAAAAAGAGTAGCCTAACCGCGCTGCCTGGGCAAAATTTTGAGTTAAAAATCTACCCAAAGTATTTCAGGATCCTCGTTGTTTCTCCAGAGCCTGTGCTGAGCTTCTTCGGACTCAGACTTGAGTTAGAAGAAGAATGGAGCACTTATGGGTTACTACCCGTGTGCCATGATGTTGATCCGTTGTTCAAACTTTCAAACCTCAAGCTTATTGTAAGAGGTGAATATATGTAGGGTTTGGCTTCCATAAAAAGCTTCAACTGCAAAAGCCAACAAAATATTTACAAGTCTAGCAAATCTTATTTTGAGTTGGTTGACAGCCTGTGCTCCATTGGAAAATAAAGAGCAGAAGCTGAAAAAAATAAAAATAAACAGCACTTAATAATCACCAACACCATTTGGTTTGAGGTAAAGTTTTTGTATTGATGCTATTTTTTTTTTTCAGGTAGTACAGCTAGCTGATAGAATTTTTTAACACCTACTGTCATAAAGTGCAGCTAGCAGATAGAACTTTTTAATACAAATTGTTATACAGTACAGTTGATAAAACTGTAACACAAACTGTTATACAATACAGCTTGCTAATAGAACTTTGTAACACAAACTGTTATACATTGCAGCTGATAGAACTTTGTAACACAAAATGTTATATAGTACAGCTGATAGAACTTTGTAACACAAACTGTTATACAGTATAGCTGATAGAACTTTGTAACACAAACTGTTATACAGTACAGCTGATAGAACTTTGTAACACAAACTGTTTTTCAGTACAGCTGATAGAACTTTGTAACACAAACTGTTTTACAGTACAGCTGATAGAACTTTGTAACACAAACTGTTTTACAGTACAGCTGATAGAACTTTGTAACACAAACTGTTATACAGTACAAGCTGATAGAACTTTGTAACACAAACTGTTTTACAGTACAGCTGATAGAACTGTGTAGCACAAACTGTTATACAATGCAGTTGATAGAACTTTGTAACACAAACTGTTTTACAGTACAGCTGATAGAACTGTCTAACACAAACTGTTATAAAGTACAGCTGATTAGATCTTTGTAACGCAAACTGTTATACAGTACAGTTAGCTGATAGAACTTTGTAATGCAAACTGTTTTACAGCTAGCTGATAGAAATGTGTAACACAAACTGTTATTAAGTACTGCTTATTATAACTGGGTAACACAAACTGTTATACAGTACAGCTGATAGAACTTTGCAACACAAACTGTTATACAGTACAGCTGATAGAACTGTGTAATACAATCTGTTAAACAGTACAGCTTATAGAACTTTGTAACACAAACTGTTAAACAGTGCAGCTGATAGAACTTTGTAACACAAACAGTTTTAAAGCTAGCTTATAGCACTGTGTAACATAAACTGTGATACAGTGCAGCTGATAGAACTGTGTAACACAAAATGTTATACAGTGCAGCTGATAGAACTTTGTAACACAAACTGTTATACAGTACAGCTGATAGAACTTTGTAACCCAAACTGTAATACAGTGCAGCTGATAGAACTTTGTAACACAAACTGTTAAACAGCACAGCTGATAGAACTTTGTAACGCAAACTGTTAAACAGTACAGCTGATAGAACTTTGTAACACAAACTGTTAAACAGTGCAGCTGATAGAACTTTGTAACACAAACTGTTATACAATGCAGCTGATAGAACTGTGTAACACAAACTGTTTTTCAGTGCAGCTGATAGAACTTTGTAACAGAAGAATGTTATACAGTACAGTTGATAAAACTGTAACACAAACTGTTATACAATACAGCTTGCTAATAGAACTTTGTAACACAAACTGTTGTACAGTGCAGCTGATAGAACTTTGTAACACAAAATGTTATACAGTACAGCTGATAGAACTTTGTAACACAAACTGTTATACAGTACAGCTGATAGAACTTTGTAACACAAACTGTTATACAGTACAGTTGATAAAACTGTAACACAAACTGTTATACAATACAGCTTGCTAATAGAACTTTGTAACACAAACTGTTATACAGTGCAGCTGATAGAACTTTGTAACACAAAATGTTATACAGTACAGCTGATAGAACTTTGTAACACAAACTGTTATACAGTACAGCTGATAGAACTTTGTAACACAAACTGTTATACAGTACAGCTGATAGAACTTTGTAACACAAACTGTTTTTCAGTACAGCTGATAGAACTTTGTAACACAAACTGTTTTACAGTACAGCTGATAGAACTTTGTAACACAAACTGTTTTACAGTACAGCTGATAGAACTTTGTAACACAAACTGTTATACAGTACAAGCTGATAGAACTTTGTAACACAAACTGTTTTACAGTACAGCTGATAGAACTGTGTAGCACAAACTGTTATACAATGCAGTTGATAGAACTTTGTAACACAAACTGTTTTACAGTACAGCTGATAGAACTGTCTAACACAAACTGTTATAAAGTACAGCTGATTAGATCTTTGTAACACAAACTGTTATACAGTACAGTTAGCTGATAGAACTTTGTAATGCAAACTGTTTTACAGCTAGCTGATAGAAATGTGTAACACAAACTGTTATTAAGTACTGCTGATTATAACTGGGTAACACAAACTGTTATACAGTACAGCTGATAGAACTTTGCAACACAAACTGTTATACAGTACAGCTGATAGAACTGTGTAATACAATCTGTTAAACAGTACAGCTTATAGAACTTTGTAACACAAACTGTTAAACAGTGCAGCTGATAGAACTTTGTAACACAAACAGTTTTAAAGCTAGCTTATAGAACTGTGTAACATAAACTGTGATACAGTGCAGCTGATAGAACTGTGTAACACAAAATGTTATACAGTGCAGCTGATAGAACTTTGTAACACAAACTGTTATACAGTACAGCTGATAGAACTTTGTAACCCAAACTGTAATACAGTGCAGCTGATAGAACTTTGTAACACAAACTGTTAAACAGTACAGCTGATAGAACTTTGTAACACAAAATGTTATACAATGCAGCTGATAGAACTGTGTAACACAAACTGTTTTACAGTGCAGCTGATAGAACTGTGTAACACAAACTGTTTTACAGTGCAGCTGATTGAACTGTTTAGCACAAACTGTAATACAATGCAGCTGATAGAACTGTGTAACACAAACTGTTTTACAGTGCAGCTGATTGAACTGTTTAGCACAAACTGTAATACAGTACAGCTGATAGAACTTTGTAACACCAACTGTTTTACAGTACATCTGATAGAACTGTGTAGCACAAACTGTTATACAATGCAGTTGATAGAACTTTGTAACACAAACTGTTATACAGTGCAGCTGATAGAACTGTGTAACACAAACTGTTTTACAGTGCAGCTGATTGAACTGTTTAGCACAAACTGTTATACAGTGCAGCTGATAGAACTGTGTAACACAAACTGTTTTACAGTACAGCTGATAGAACTGTGTAGCACAAACTGTTGTACAGTACAGCTGATAGAACTTTGTAACACAAACTGTTTTACAGTACAGCTGATAGAACTTTGTAACACAAACTGTTTTACAGTACAGCTGATAGAACTGTGTAACACAAACTGTTTTACAGTACAGCTGATAGAACTGTGTAACACAAACTGTTTTACAGTGCAGCTGATAGAACTGTGTAACACAAACTGTTTTACAGTGCAGCTGATAGAACTGTGTAACACAAACTGTTTTACAGTACAGCTGATAGAACTGTGTAACACAAAATGTTATACAATGCAGCTGATAGAACTGTGTAACACAAACTGTTTTACAGTGCAGCTGATAGAACTGTGTAACACAAACTGTTTTACAGTGCAGCTGATTGAACTGTTTAGCACAAACTGTAATACAATGCAGCTGATAGAACTGTGTAACACAAACTGTTTTACAGTGCAGCTGATTGAACTGTTTAGCACAAACTGTAATACAGTACAGCTGATAGAACTTTGTAACACCAACTGTTTTACAGTACATCTGATAGAACTGTGTAGCACAAACTGTTATACAATGCAGTTGATAGAACTTTGTAACACAAACTGTTATACAGTGCAGCTGATAGAACTGTGTAACACAAACTGTTTTACAGTGCAGCTGATTGAACTGTTTAGCACAAACTGTTATACAGTGCAGCTGATAGAACTGTGTAACACAAACTGTTTTACAGTACAGCTGATAGAACTGTGTAGCACAAACTGTTATACAGTACAGCTGATTTTACTTTGTAACACAAACTGTTTTACAGTACAGCTGATAGAACTTTGTAACACAAACTGTTTTACAGTACAGCTGATAGAACTTTGTAACACAAACTGTTTTACAGTACAGTTGATAGAACTGTGTAGCACAAACTTTTATACAATGCAGTTGATAATACTCAGGGCTCTTTTAATAAAAAAGAAAAGGTGCTGGTACTCAGGAAAATGTTTAAAACAAGGGTGCCGGTACTGACCTCAAATTGTCTATCTGAGAAGTGCTAAAAAATGATTTCTGAAATAAGGTTCTGCAACTGCATACTACCAGAATAAAAAGCCCTGATAATAATCACAGAATAAATCATTGTTGCCTTTTGACTCTACTCTACACATGGTTGTTTAGGTCTCGGTCTTTTATATATTCCAGAGAAAACAGTGATACTGTTAGCAGGTTTTATTCTATCCAGTGCCAGAGTGAGGCCCAATTGACAAACATCCAATATTTAGTCGAGGACATTTGATAACTGAACCCAGGTTCAAGCCCCGGTGAAGGCTACGATTTTTTCAGTGGACTTCTAGTAATTTCCTCTGGTCTCTGGTTAGTAAGATCGGACGCCCGTATTGTTGCGTACGTAAAAAACCCTTGGCAGTTGGAAATTGAAAAAAGAGTAGCCTATCAGCGCCGCCTGGGTAACAATTTGAAGTTAAAAATCTACCCAAAGTATTTGATGATACTCGCCAGTGCTACAAAGTTCATGCAATGTGCTGGGATTCTTCAGACAGGCTTGAGTCATAAGTAGAACAGAGACTAAGGGGTTACCCATTGTGCCCTTGATGTTGATCCATCGTCTAAACTGAAACCTAAGTTAACCGAACTATACAATCCAACGGAAATACAGCCAAGGTAGAATTGGGAATAGATGCAGAAGCTTGAAATAGAGATACTTTTAATGGTGCCAAGTGGAGATGCATAAAATAAGATGTTATTTGTCAGCGTGAAACAGCAGTCAGAGTGTGACCAACCAGGGAGAGAAAAAAAAACAGCTGCTCAAAAAACAGTCTTGGAGGCTGAAACATTCTGAACATACTAAACACGTCTGTGGCTTAGAAAGAAGAGTAGAGAAAGGCATAGCTTCCAGAAGAACAAACAGGGATTGAGCAGGATGATGAGTATTAGAGACATATTGGGAAGGAAAAAACCCACATGGGACAGGGGGATTGGCACAAGTTTTCTCAACTCTTTGAGTCCCAGAGGGTTTAGCATCACAGGCCCAAGAGGCAGTAAAGAGAGACATAAAATCGGGGCATTATACATTCATTGGGCTTCTAGGCACTAACCTATGAACGTATGATGTGTGCCTTGGGACTCAAAGAGTTAATTAGCTATAATGGGAGTGATATTTTTCAAAGGATCTGCTTGAGGATTTTGATGATAATTAATCTATCTGTTTTCTTAACTCTTCCCTGCATTAGTTAAAACACTGGTACTTACATTGCTCACAGCTGTATCGATCAGCAGCCAGTGTGTATCCCTGATGACAAAGACACCTGTAACTTCCAGGCCCATTCTCACAGAGGTGCTCACAGTCATCAATGTAGTTAGCACACTCATCAATGTCTGAGAATAGAATTAATGAGGTAATGATAACAACTAAAGGCAGCCAAGACACACAGATGACATACAGAATAATCAACTGGCACACACAGATAACATACAGAATAATCAACTGGGACACACAGTTGACATACAGAATAATCAACTGGGACACACAGATGACATACAGAATAATCAACTGGGAAACATAGATGACATACAGAATAATCCACTGGGACACACAGATGACATACAGAATAATCAACTGGGACACACAGTTGACATACAGAATAATCAACTGGAACACACAAATGACATACAGAATAATCCACTGGGACACACAGATGACATATAGAATAATCAACTGGGACACACAGTTGACATACAGAATAATCATCTGGAACACACAAATGACATACAGAATAATCCACTGGGACACACAGATGACATATAGAACAATCTACTGGAACACACAAATGACATACAGAATAATCAACTGGGACACACAGATGTCATGCAGAATAATCAACTGGCATACACAGATGACATACAGAACAATCAACTGGCATACACAAATGACATACAGAATAATCAACTGGCACACACAAATGACATACAGAATAATCAACTGGCACACACAGATGACATACAGAATAATCAACTGGGACACACAGATGACATACAGAATAATCAACTGGGACACACAGATGACATACAGAATAATCCACTGGGACACACAAATGACATACAGAATAATCCACTGGGACACACAGATGACATACAGAATAATCCACTGGGACACACAAATGACATACAGAATAATCCACTGGGACACACAGATGACATACAGAATAATCCACTGGGACACACAAATGACATACAGAATAATCCACTGGGACACACAGATGACATATAGAATAATCCACTGGGACACACAGATAACATATAGAATAATCCACTGGGACACACAAATGACATACAGAATAAGCAATCAGGACACACAGATGACATGCAGAATAACCATCCAGGAAATATACATGTTATACGACATAGCCAACCAGGATAGTTGGCATAAAGAATAACTAATTGGGACACCGACGTCACAGAATAGCCAAACATATGCATTTAGTAAAATGAAGACTGACATATTAAACATTTTTCAATATTTTAGATTAAATTAATACGTTACAGGTAATCAAAATTAACAACCGGGACATAAAGAAGCACAAAGAAAATCAAACGAATGCATTTCATGAGATAAAGACTAAAATACTAACTTGCTCTTGAAATGGAATTAGAGTTTTATTGAAAATATTACAGAGATGTGAAGATATTGTACATGTTTTCCTATAAATGAAAGGAAAACACAAGTGATAACCTGCTCTGTAACTGGAGTAAATGGTAACCCTGTAACTTGAGGTTCAAAGAAAGAATTCTCCCACGCTACACAGACCCAGTGTTAACATTTATCTCAGAATTATGTGCAGTTAGTCAACAAGTCCCTGATAGTGTGTGTCAACAAGCCCCTGATAGTGTGTGTCAACAAGCCCTTGATAGTGTGTGTCAACAAGCCCCTGCTAGTGTGTGTCAACAAGCCCCTGGGGGGGGGGTTTAAAGGGGGCTACATGGTCTCAATGCATGGCATCTAACTCAAGTGCTAGATGTCTTGGGTTTAAGCCCCAGTGAAGGCTGGGATTTTTTTTCACGTGAACTTCTAGTAATTTCCCCTGGTCTCTGGGTAGTAAGGTCAGACGCCCATGTGTATTGTTTTGCATGTAAAAAAAAATCCCTTGGCAGTTGGAAATAAAAATTTAAAAAAAAAAGAGTATCCCAATGACTCATACAGGGCAACATTTGAAGTAAAAAATCTACTTAAAGTATTTCAGGATTCTCGTCGGTGATTGGCAGTTTGTGCACTGCCCTGAGATTTTCTTCAATATACAACAGACAATGCACACGTTTGTCATGGTTTGAAATTCGACCTGTCATTGTTAGAGATAGGTGACCACAGTTGTTGCAAAAATCTTCAAAACTAATATTTCCATTTTTAGTGGCATTTAATTATAGCCACGTTAGTAAATGCGCATGTGCGATCGACTTTCTCAGTGCATGTGCAGTAGACACGGGACCCTCCATTTTTTACATCCGCCCGTACAGCAAACCAGACTATCTCTGTATCGCTGATTGTGACGTTAACTATATTATACATGATTTCTATTTTCTTTCTTTTCAAACAACGTTCAATGAGTTAGATAGTAGTCGGTGGATTTGAGAAAGGGGAAGAGAAAAAAGTGGAGGGAGCTATGTCTGTGCAGACAATTATTGCGACATTTACCGTGTTAGACACGATACGATACGATTTCTATTATTGTGCCGTTTCAATAATACTTGAAGTTAATATCTGGGATACAAATGAGATATGTTAATGAGAAAATAATTGCCTGCGGTTTTGAGTTGTGTTAGAATCGGGACACACATCTTACGTAGTTTTGTTATCTTTTCATTGTTCAGAAGCAATGGTTGGCTGGTCGAATGGTTAGTTCACTGGTTAGCATAAACTGGTAACTGAAAGAGCTTCAAGTCAAAGTAACTGCCTTACCCACTCAAAGTAGCAGTAGTAGTAGTTGTGATTGAGCGGTTACACCGTAGTGCTGTCATGCCGTAGACCGCCGGTAAGGTGATGGCATTTTTCTGTCGGGGAGCGAAATTACACATCCTAACATGACCAGTCTGTGCCGACAGCATTAGCCTTGCGGCGCCAAATCCTCTGGCTCACGACTCCCTGTCTACTTCGATGGTAAAACAGATAGCAGTGACATTATTTTATTTATTGTGGTAGTGGTGGTGGTAGTAGTTGTACTGGTACTTGAAGGATAGTGTGGTAAATATTACACTAGCCGCATTTACTACTCCTTACAATTCCTGCTCCTTATTTTAGTCCAGATATCAACGTCAGTTACAAAAAATTGTGCCTACACTGGACAGGTTGTTCTAGCCATTGTGCCTACACTGGGCGGGTTGTCCTTGCCATTGTGCCTACACTGGGCGGGTTGTCCTAGCCATTGTGCCTACACTGGGCAGGTTGTCTTAGCCATTGTGCCTACACTGGGCAGGTTGTCCTAGCCATTGTGCCTACACTGGGCAGGTTGTCCTAGCCATTGTGCCTACACTAGGCGGGTTGTCCTAGCCATTGTGCCCACACTGGGCAGGTTGTCCTAGCCATTGTGCCTACACTGGGTGGGTTGTCCTAGCCATTGTGCCTACACTGGGCAGCTTGTCCTAGCCATTGTGCCCACACTGGACAGGTTGTCCTAGCCATTGTGCCTACACTGGGCAGGTTGTCCTAGCCATTGTGCCTACACTGGGCAGGTTGCTCTAGCCATTGTGCCTACACTGGGCAGCTTGTCCTAGCCATTGTGCCCACACTGGACAGCTTGTCCTAGCCATTGTGCCTACACTGGGTGGGTTGTCCTAGCCATTGTGCCTACACTGGACGGGTTGTCCTAGCCATTGTGCCTACACTGGACAGCTTGTCCTAGCCATTGTGCCTACACTGGGTGGGTTGTCCTAGCTATTGTGCCTACACTGGACAGCTTGTCCTAGCCATTGTGCCTACACTGGGTGGGTTGTCCTAGCCATTGTGCCTACACTGGACAGCTTGTCCTAGCCATTGTGCCTACACTGGGCGGGTTGTCCTAGCCATTGTGCCTACACTGGACAGCTTGTCCTAGCCATTGTGCCCATACTGGGCGAGTTGTCTTAGCCATTGTGCCTACACTGGGCGGGTTGTCCTAGCCATTGTGCCTACACTGGACAGCTTGTCCTAGCCATTGTGCCTACACTGGACAGCTTGTCCTAGCCATTGTGCCTACACTGGGTGGGTTGTCCTAGCCATTGTGCCTACACTGGGTGGGTTGTCCTAGCCATTGTACCTACACTGGGCAGTTTGTCCTAGCCATTGTGCCTACACTGGGTGGGTTGTCCTAGCCGTTGTGCCTACACTGGGCGGGTTGTCCTAGCCATTGTGCCTACACTGGGCGGGTTGTCCTAGCCATTGTGCCTACACTGGGCGGGTTGTCCTAGCCATTGTGCCCACACTGGACAGGTTGTCCTAGCCATTGTGCCTACACTGGGAAGGTTGTCCTAGCCATTGTGCCTACACTGGACAGCTTGTCCTAGCCATTGTGCCCATACTGGGCGAGTTGTCTTAGCCATTGTGCCTACACTGGGTGGGTTGTTTTAGCCATTGTGCCTACACTGGACAGCTTGTCCTAGCCATTGTGCCTACACTGGGTGGGTTGTCCTAGCCGTTGTGCCTACACTGGGTGGGTTGTCCTAGCCGTTGTGCCTACACTGGGCGGGTTGTCCTAGCCATTGTGCCTACACTGGGCGGGTTGTCCTAGCCATTGTGCCTACACTGGGCGGGTTGTCCTAGCCATTGTGCCTACACTGGACAGCTTGTCCTAGCCATTGTGCCTACACTGGGCGGGTTGTCCTAGCCATTGTGCCTACACTGGGCGGGTTGTCCTAGCCATTGTGCCTACACTGGGCGGGTTGTCCTAGCCATTGTGCCTACACTGGACAGCTTGTCCTAGCCATTGTGCCTACACTGGGCGGGTTGTCCTAGCCATTGTGCCTACACTGGGCGGGTTGTCCTAACCATTGTGCCTACACTGGGTGGGTTGTCCTAGCCATTGTGCCTACACTGGGCGGCTTGTCCTAGCCATTGTGCCTACACTGGGTGGGTTGTCCTAGCCATTGTGCCTACACTGGGTGGGTTGTCCTAGCCATTGTGCCTACACTGGGTGGGTTGTCCTAGCCATTGTGCCTACACTGGGTGGGTTGTCCTAGCCATTGTGCCTACACTGGGTGGGTTGTCCTAGCCATTGTGCTTACACTGGGTGGGTTGTCCTAGCCATTGTGCCTACTCTGGGTGGGTTGTCCTAGCCATTGTGCCTACACTGGACAGCTTGTCCTAGCCATTGTGCCTACACTGGGCGGGTTGTCCTAGCCATTGTGCCTACACTGGACAGCTTGTCCTAGCCATTGTGCCTACACTGGGCAGGTTGTCCTAGCCTTTGTGCCTACACTGGGCAGCTTGTCCTAGCCATTGTGCCTACACTGGGCAGGTTGTCCTAGCCTTTGTGCCTACACTGGGCAGCTTGTCCTAGCCATTGTGCCTACACTGGGTGGGTTGTCCTAGCCATTGTGCCTACACTGGGTGGGTTGTCCTAGCCATTGTGCCTACACTGGGTGGGTTGTCCTAGCCATTGTGCCTACACTGGGTGGGTTGTCATAGCCATTGTGCCTACACTGGGTGGGTTGTCCTAGCCATTGTGCCTACACTGGGCGGGTTGTCCTAGCCATTGTGCCTACACTGGGTGGGTTGTCTTAGCCATTGTGCCTACACTGGGTGGGTTGTCTTAGCCATTGTGCCTACACTAGGCGAGTTGTCTTAGCCACTGTGCCTACACTGGGTGGGTTGTCCTAGCCATTGTGCCCCTACTGGGTTGGTTGTCTTAGCCATTGTGCCTACACTGGGCAGCTTGTCCTAGCCATTGTGCCTACACTGGGCAGCTTGTCCTAGCCATTGTGCCTACACTGGGCAGCTTGTCCTAGCCATTGTGCCTACACTGGGCAGCTTGTCCTAGCCATTGTGCCTACACTGCGCAGCTTGTCCTAGCCATTGTGCCTACACTGGGCAGCTTGTCCTAGCCATTGTGCCTACACTGGGCAGCTTGTCCTAGCCATTGTGCCTATACTGGGCGGGTTGTTCTAGCCATTGTGCCTACAGAGGCGTCCTCTGTCTAGCAAATTTAAAGTGATGACCAGCACTGAAAACTTCTCAGCTGCACACCACATTTACCCATCACTTGCCTGCCATGACTCCCTATCAGTGTTGCCACTTTTCTTTGACGAAAGACATCCAAAACAGAGTCAAAAAATATCTTAAAACATTTAAATTTGCGTGGAAAACATTTAGAAAAAAAACATCAAAATGGAAAGAGTTACAAATTACATAGCAATTGATATGACTTACCCTATAGAATCCTGTCCTCATCTTTACTGATGTCTGCCTTACAAGATCCACAGGATAAACTTAGCTTGGATGATGAAGTTGAAGCTTCAGATCCAAAATGACTCTGGTATGCTTTAGCTGTTCCAATTTCTTTTAATACCCAATCAGGGAGCTGATAAGTAGAACAGCCTTTTCCTACTCTTATTAGGCCGAATTTTATTGTCAAGATAGCATTTAAAAGGTCAAATTTCATGCTGTTTGTTAGGTTATATTTGATAAATTCACTCCAAATGTAAAACATCTAGAAAAACATCTACCATCTAAACGTCAAAAATGACATTTAAATGCAGGGGAAAATATCTAAATCTGGATGTAAGACATCCAAAGTGGCAACACTGCTCCCTATAGCCATAACTGGGCGGTGGGGGTATGGGGGCCTAAGCAGGCACTCTGCCCCAGCCCATGAGGTATCCCGCAGGCTAGCAGAGGGAAGGAGGCAGCTTACATCCCCCCAGGGATCTCCTGTATTTGTGAATCATCCATTGAGTCTAAACCAAACCTTCAACCTTTAGTGCAAAAGGAAAATGATATAACCACTACACCTTAAATATGCTACCATAAATGTTGCCATTTTGTAATTTTTATCAAAAATGTTTTCAGACAATTTACAAAGCATGGAGCTAACATTAGTTGTTATTTGTATTTTATTATATTTGAGGACACAAGAATACTTGAACAAGATAATAGTATTTTGCCTCAATATAGTGTTATTTCTGTCTTTGCTGTTTTTGTTTTCTGATGAAGGCTTGTTTCAGCAATATACTAGTTCTTTGTGCAGCTGACAATGTACACTTCAGGAGAGTTCCTACCCTGCTTACCTTCACAAAGACCTGTAGCCAGATTTCTTGTGTAGCCTTCCTTACACTGACAGCTGTGGTTGCCAATGTTGTTATAGCAATCTTCAACATTCAGATCACAGCGATTCTTATAGTCTGCACATTCATCAATGTCTGAAAGCAAGGATTATAACAACTAATAAAGTTTTTTTGGAAGATGCATAACTGAAATAAGAAACAGAATTGGACAGGCAAAAACTGCATTTTATAAAATGAAGAATATCTTGTGCATTATATCCTTGTCATTGAGAGTTAGAAAAAGAATTCTTGCTTGCTACATACATCCAGTTTTAACATATGGATGTGAATCCTGGACAATCGGTAGGCAGGCCAAACAATTTTTAGAGGCCTCAGAGATGTGGTTTTACAGAAGAATGCTTAGAATACCTTGGACAGCCAAAAAGAGCAACCAAGAGGTTTTGAAAGAAGCGAGAGCCCGAAGACAACTTAGCACAGACATCAGAAGGAGACAGTCATCATTTTTCGGCCATGTTATGAGAAGAGGGAAAATAGAACAGTCTTGTTGCATGGCATGGAGGTGTGTCGGCACCCGAACTGATACATGCTGCAGGAGATCGCAGATTATGGAGAGGCATGATCGCCCACGCCAGTCGGCAAGGCACCTGATGATGATGATGAAAGTTTTTCAGTCTGTATTTATAAAGAAAAGAAAATAGGATATATTATAATTGTCAAATTAGCAGACAGCAGCAGTAGAAAACCTGGCCAGTCTTGTTTTATTTGTGCTGAAAATGTTCAGCTGATTACCCATAGAAATGTTTCGGTTGTTGTTATTTTTGTGTTACAAAAAATATACATGAACAATGTTCAATATATCTTTATTATTACTTAATTAGTTTCACAAGTGTCCAGCAGTCCTTACAGATCCATGTTGGAATCAGAATATTCAGGCCACCAAAATGATGACCCTTTTTTAAATAGCTGAATGTATATTCTTTACAGGACTTGCAGAAGGAACTCCAGCATTTAAAAAAATATGTTTGTGATTTCATTTCACAATTTTAAGTTAATTAGTTTGCCATTGCTATCTAAATGGTTAGCTATCGATACGATTGTCAAAACTAATGCAAGGCACCTGCTGCCAAACTGCCCACAATTTGGATCCAAACCAGCAGGTTGGAATTACGAAGCATGCGCCTAAACCACAGCACTGACGACCCATATTAGCAACTGCTACAAGTTAGTAAGCAAGAAGAAATCAGAAGAAAAAAAGGGAATTAAATCATTAAAGAAAAAGTCAGCCAGAACCAAAACTAAATTTCACACAAAGACAGTAAATATAAATATTTGCTCACTAAGAAAAAATGTCTGGGTACACCATACCAAGCAAGGCATATACCAAAAGAAGAGTGATATAGATCATGAGCTAGACCATGAACAAGATGGAAAGATAACATCAGATAAAATAATCTTAAATTTCCCCCGAAAGCGACAGTAGTAAAAGAGGAAAAGAAGAAGCAGAAATCTCCCAATCTGATGATAATCATTATGTCTGTTTACTCTGTAACTTCGTCACTTATTCAAGCATTCAGCTTAACAATTCATACAGTCTCACATGTTCATATCTTACCTGTACAAACTCCACTGACCATCAAGTAACCATCTGGACAGACACAGCTAAAAGAACCAGGCTCATTGACACAGACTAGTCCATCAGCACATCTGTCAGGATCTGCACACTCATTCACATCTTGTTCACAGTTGTTCCCTGACCAGGACTCATCACAGACACATCCGCGGACATTGTCACAGGTCCCTCTACCTCGACACTCACAGGTGCTGGAGCAGTTGTCTCCAAAGTTGGGGCTTTCACATTCTGAACCAAAGACATTGTACATGATTAGGAAATTTCAGTTAACGACATAAGAATTATACACAGAAAAATGGTGTTACTTAAGTATCTACATAGACCAGATTTAATGACTATGACATTCTAGATAAGCCATTTTGTGGGTAAGCCAGGTTTTAAGGTATGAAATATTCTACATAAGCCAGATTGTGTGAGTATCACAGGTTCTACATAAGCCAGATTTTGAGGTTTCATAGATTCTATAAGACTAGATTGTAGGGGTATGATAAGTTCTACAGAAGACAACTATAGGGCAGGGTTATTCAACTAAGTTTACACAGGGGCTAACATTTTCAAAATGGGGATCATTTACGGGCCAGAACCCCCAGTTTCAGCATAGGAAGAACATTATTGCCATACACCTAGCAAAGATCCGTGGACCACATGCTAGGCCTCCGCAAGCCAGAATTAGCCTACAGCCCGCCAGTTGAATAGCCCTGCTATTATAGGGGTATAAATTTATTTGCGTATCCTTTACAGGACGTTGCAGAACCAACCCTAACAGCCCCTGGCTGTTGTGTCGTTTCTCTAGGCAATTTACATCCAGTAGTTTGCCATTGCTTCCTGGACGGTCGGCTTTCTTGATACCACTGTCGAAACCAACGCAAGGCGCATTGCCCGCAGCTGGGATCGAACCTGGCATCCCGGCATTACGAAGCGAAGCGTTCGCATCGACTTAGCCACAGAGCCGACATAGGGGTATAACAGGTTCTAAATAAACCTGATTTTACAGGCATAATAGCTTCTACATAACTATATAACAATAGTCCAAATCCCCCCCCCCCCCCCCCCCAAAAAAAAAAGTAGATTTAAGAGCCTGCAATAATTGGAGGGAAATTACTCTACTCTCAGTACCAAGAAAAATTATTTTTTGGTAAAAACATCATAAAAGGAAGTAGATAAATGCCTACGAGTAGAACAAGCAGGATTAAGAAGTGGCAGAGGAACAGTTGAGCACATTTTCACACTATGTAACATTTTAGAACAATGCAATGAATGGCAGAGAAGTATATATATTAATTTTGTGGACTCTGAGACAGCTTTTGTCAGTGTCCATAGAGACAGTCTGGAAAATATTACAACATTATGGAATTCCAGAAAAGATAGTCAACATAACTGCTCTCTTATATAAAAAAAATTCCTGCAGTATTAAAAAATCACAACACATCTTTCCCAGTAAAGACAGGTGTAAGACAGGAATGTGTTGTCATCCCTCTTCTTCAACCTTGTAACTGATTGGACATTAAAGAACACAGTAGACAAGATACAGAGAGGCATATGATGGACTCCATTCAACATGCTCAAGGACATTGATTTGACAAATCACATAAACATGAACATATACCAGAGAAAAGTAACAGACTACACAGCACAGCAAAAAGATGGGACTGAGAATAAACACAAGGAAAACTAAGATCATGACAAACAGTACAAACCAACAACCACTGACCATAAATAACCAAACACTTGAAAATGTAGAACATTTCACATATCTTGGCAGTGTGGTGTCCCTACTGGGAGGGACAGAAGAAGATAAACTGCTGTGCCTGAACAAAGCTAGAGCTGCTTTTGGAAGGATGAGGCAAATCCAGAAATCCAACAGTTACTGTAGAGGAATGAAACTCCGACTCTACAAGAGCATCATTTTGCTAGTTCTTCTTTATGGAGCAGAATCCTGGAGAATGACCAAAAAGAATGCGCACAAGCTACCCGCTTTCCACCACACATGTCTACGTAGAATTATCAAAATTGTCTGGCCAGATACAATCTCAAACACTTAACTATTATAGGGAAAACAAGAATAGACCCACTGCCTACCCAAAAGCATGTCGTAAGAGTCAACTAATTTGGAGCTTCCTTTGAAGTGGGAGTGCATCTGCCTGAGAGGCAAGTCTGCATACAAATGATTCAGATCTGTAAAACAGATGCACACGCAAAACTTAAGTTCTGGAACAAAACTGCAGTCCAAAAGTGAAAGTGGATGAACAACCAGAATTTTGTGCCAGAGTTTACAGCTGGTGACCCCCAAGAAAAAGAAGAGAACCCTACTGCATAACATGAGCTCACGTCTTACTCCTTCAAACAAATAAATCATCAGCTTCGCCCCACGTCTGAGACAATCACCTACCGACACATGTGACTCTATCCATGCCCAGCTTGTAGCCAGGGTAACAGGAACATTCAAACTTTCCCACTTTGTTAGTACAGGTCTGGCTGCAGGGAGAGTGATTTCCCTTGCTGCATTCATCCACATCTGGATAGAGAAGAGCATTTAAGTATATGCATATATCCATGTCTCTCTCTCTCTCTCTCTCTCTCTCTCTTTCTCTCTCTCTCTCCCACTGTGTTGATGCCGGTCTGGCTGCAGGAAGAGTAATTTCCCTTGCTGCATTCATCCACATCTGGAATAGAGAAGAGCATTTAAGTATATGCATATATCCATGTCTCTCTCTCTCTCTCTCTCTCTCTCTCTCTCTCTCTCTCTCTCTCTCTCTCTCTCTCTCTCTCTCTCTCTCTCTCTCTCTCTCTCTCTCTCTCTTTCTCTCTCTCTCTCCCACTGTGTTGATGCCGGTCTGGCTGCAGGAAGAGTCATTTCCCTTGCTGCATTCATCCACATCTGGAATAGAGAAGAGCATTTAAGTATATGCATATATCCATGTCTCTCTCTCTCTCTCTCTCTCACACATGCACACATGCATGTATGCACACACATCATGTGCATGCACATCCCCACACACATACATATGTATGTATATACAAACATATCAAAGGAAAAACGTTGGAAGGGAAAAGAGGCACAGAATAATCAAGCACGATTATTTAAACAGTTTGCATGATGTTATGGATATGTAAATTATATTCCAAATTCTCCAGTAGAAGAGATGTCCGATATGATCTGGTATTCTTTAAGTGCAAACTGATCCAACAGACTGAGGACCTGGGGCATGGGTTATAAACTGGTGTCATTTGCTGCGAGACCTGCCTTATCTTACAGATAGGGCGATTTTCAATCTCACATCAGACTATATAGTCTCCTGCGGTGCTGTCAGGTGCCTGCTCACAAGTACAGTTCTATAGTTCTCTGGGACAGAAAGAAGTCTACTACTCATCATCATCAAGTGCTTTGCTGACTAGCGTGGGCGATCATGTCTCTCCACAATCTGTGATCCACAACTGAGTTTATCTGTCAAGAATCTTCTCACACTGTCTTCCTCTGACTCTCTTTCCACAGATCTTTCCAGTGGTCAAAACATGTTCCAGTTTCCCTCTTCTCAAAACATGACCAACATTTGATAACTGTCTCTTTCTGATGTTTGTCTTTGAGCACTTGCCTCTTTCAAAACATCTTGGTTACTCTTCTTAGCTGTCCAAGGAATTCTAAGGATCTTTCTGTAAAACCACATCTCCGAGGCCTCAAGATATTTTTCAGCTTGTTTATTAATTGTCCAGGATTCACAGTCCTATGTTAAAATGGGCTCTATATAGCTTTCAAGAATTTTTTTCCCTAACTTTCAGTGACATGGAGTTATTGCACAAAATGTTCTTCATTTTCTAAAATGTTTATGTCTTTATAAAAGGCAGTTCTGGCCTGTTCTATTCTGTTCTTTATCTCTGTGATACATCTTCCATCGGATGTTATCCATGTGCCTACATACTTACATTTCTGTCATCATCATGTAGCAGGTCCTTTGCAGAACGTCGCTCTTATCACAGTCTGCCTGAAAGAAATTTTGTCTCTAGCCAGCTCTCCCTCCTCATGTACTTTTATACTCAAGGAGTCACTTATATCCTGTGCCCATCTTCATGTCGGTCGACCCCTGCCTCTCCTTCCTGGCACCATGCCTTCTGCTATAAATTTTTCGAATCCGTCGTGGCGCTTGATATGACCAAAATATTTCAGCTTCTGAGACATGATGCTGTTTATTAGCCAATCTTCCTTGCTGTTCAGATCTTTCAAGATGTCAGTATTTCTCCTCTTCTTTATCCAAGATATTCTAAGAATCTTTCTATAGCATTTCAGCTCCAAAGCCCCTATTCTCTTTCTTAAGGACTGGGAGATAGTCCACAACTCACATCCATATGTTGCTACAGGGAAGATGCATGCTCTAAAAATTCTAACTTTGATCTCCTTGCTGTTGCTTAACCATAGACTTTTTAGGTTGTTTAATTTTAAATTTCTGAACTAGTTTTAAAATAACACCTATAATCTTATTATACATTAGGGCACTATTCTTTTCTTGGAAATCACCATTACTCCTCATATTAAAACTGAGGCCTAGTTTATCAGTTTCTACCACCACTGTATCTTTTAATTCTTGTTGTTCTTTCTGACTTGTCGCCATCAAGACAGTGTCGTCAGCATAATGCAGGCTGTTTATGTTATGACCACCAGCCACAATTGAAGGCATATCTATGTCTACTACTACAATACATAATAGAGAAATTATTTGCAAAAGTGGAATGTGGTTTAATGAATACATTGGATAGTCATATTGATTAATCATGATGAACTGGAAAAGGTTTCTGAAAGTAAGACATCCTATGTAACTGTAAGACTAAGAAATTGTTATTTTTGTATGTGATGAAAAGAAGTACAGAAGAACACAATGATGACCAAAGGATCACAAGTAGAAAACACAAAGACTAATGGGGATAACATGGATGAATAGAATAAGTTGGTGGAATGCACAAATACAACCAACAGAATTGACCTAGAAAATCAGAGACTAAGAACTGTTGAGAGAGAAGAGTGCATTAGCCATCTAGCAAAACACTTGAGATTTAAGGTCATCATTATCAATTTCCACTTCTGCTGTTAAGCGTTGTGGGGAGGAACATTTTGTGATCCATTGCTTGATGGGCAACAATGGCTATTATCATTCTGTGTTTATGTAGAAGCTCTTTAGTGTCATCAATCCATCTTCTCCTAGAGCGGCCTCTGGTTTTTAGTTCAGATCTGTTCATGT